TTACCAGACGCAGAACTCTCTTTGATCTGCTTCCCAAATGCGAACCTCTTTTTGATCAGCCAAGTCCAAACGTGGATCTCTCCTGGATCCACCTCAAATCCCGAGGTCACCAATCAGGGTCCCACCAAACTAACGTCCACCACCCCGAACCGAACCGGCACTGTTATTAAAGCCAAACCGAGTTGGTCGGTTGGACTGGTAAAACCGGCACCTGACCACTAACTCGGTTCAGAATACTCCAAAAGTCGCAGCGGTCAGGAAGGTCGGTCGCTGAGCGGTCGAAGCGGTTACCCGCTCGAACGGTTTTAAGCACGCATGCTGCATTTGAAAAAATCACTCCTTACCTTTTTGGTCAGACACGGACTGTTGGGTGGAGTTACCAAAAAAATTAAATTTATACCGTCTCAATGCGGTTACTTCCCTATTTCCCAGGCACTTTTAATCATTTTATACTTTCTTTTTCCATTTTCCCAAGACAAAGACACGGTTTCCCTATTCTCCTAGCCTTTTAAATTTTAATTTGATTTCCCATGCACATTACACAAGCGGTTGCTTAGGTATTAGCAAAAAAAATTAATTTTATATATATTCCAACTATTTCAATGAATATTTGTTAAACATTTAATCATTTATACACACAAGATTTAGAATACTAGATAGGTTAAGCATTTATATACACGTAGATGTGTTTTTTTAACATATATACACGTAGATGTGTTATTATGTGTGTTTCTATATTTAATTTTATTATATTATAGGGTATCGTTTTATCGGTTCGTTTACGGGTTTTTAACGACTCAATACCGGTTTAACCAGTAAAGTGCGAATCGTTTGCTTTGCCGGCTCATACTCCGGTTCAGTTCTGACAACATTGCGAACCAAGCTCTGATACCACTTTTCGAAATCGGACAGCTCAATTAGTACGATACTGTCCGTTTTGGACCAAGCCTACACGATTTTACTCTTGGGTCTCCTTCCCAAAAGCCTCATACTAATAAGTTTGACGGACACTAATATACAAAAGTTCCTTCTCTTATATTACCGATATGGCGATATGATACTTGGATTGTCTCATAATAATACTAAACAGTATTTACAGCAATGACTTATGCTGATTAGGCGGTATATTTGTGCAATAATTTAGTAGAGGGGTACATTTGTTAATCTATCATAGTGGAGGGATACAAAATGCTATTAACCCTTTTAATATTAATGCAATTAAGGGGTGAATTACAAGTTTGGTCACTCAGTTTACCAATTTCTTTCATGTTTGACACTCAAAATAATTTTTCCTTTTATTGGCTGCAGTCTTATAAGTTATAATTCACCCGGTCTTTGGAATTTTAAATTGAACATTTGAATATTGATGTTATACAAGCATGTGTGAATTTTCACTATATGTTGGATTGAAGTATGACCTGCTGGTTTGGTGCAATGTGACATGTTATACCCATACGTTAGATGAGATTTGATAATAAAATTTATAAATGTATCCACAACATAATGACTTGACTAAAATGATCGTACCATTAACCCTCATAGTTCAACCCACTTACTCAACCAGACCAAATGAGGAAGGACTTATTCTCACCTGGGACAGGGTTTGGTGAGTTGGATTCGTAAATGGATGGAATTGAGTTTCGTGGGTATATATATATATAGTCAAACAGAAAGAAAACAAAGGAGGTCCTCCAAAAATATATTACAGATGTATCAGCCAATTGATGATTTGATCCGTCTGCTAAAGCCGTTAGCGGTATCAAATTTACGAGGGGACTAATAAAAGTCCAGACTCACAGATTAAGAAAGAGTTCAACATTAATTATTAGGGGGACTCATTCTACAAGCAACGGATAAACGTTATAGGCTTATAGCTATATGTTAAAGTGGATCACCAGAACCTACGTCGAAAAAGTCTTGGTTTTGTTTTGGTTTGTTATATGTGGTTGGTTTTCACCAGAATGTCTTGTTTGTTTACCGGCATGGGTTTTCGATTACAAAGGAAGCAAATTACAACGAGGCTGTTGGGGACGCCGAATGGCAAACCCAGGTATTTGTGATAATCGAGATGAGAGGGTTTATAGAGACAGAAACAAGAATCAAAATACAACGAGATCTACGTGATTTTCTTGTTCGATCAGATCGAACAGGCGAGTAGTCCATGTGAAAAGGATTTCATGTATTTTTTATTGCATACACTCCATAAGATCTTGCTCAATGTTGACGACACAGTTTGTCAAGAACCAGTTGATTACAATAACTCAAGTTGTTGTGAGATATTTAATTATGGATCATATACCGTTTATTAACACACCTCTCACACTCAAGCCAGTCAGATAGGCTTGGAGTTTGCACAGGTATGGACACCATGTGATTAATTAACAGAAACATATGGGAGTCATCAGGATTCAAACATGAGACCTCTGGGTCACTGAAGTTTCTGATGTCATGTCAATAACTAGTTGATTCCAATAACTCGAGTTGTTGGGAGAGGTTCTATTGTAGATCATATATTGTTTATTAATACACTCATCTTTGGGACTCAACGTGAGTCCAACCATCTTTAATTTTTTTGTTGCACAGTTAGATCAGATTAATTGTGCCCTTCAAAATAATATACACTTTGATATATTTTTCGAACAAAAAAAATTGAGCCATTTTTTACCAGTCAATACCATATGGTATTGATTGGTATTGAAATAAGAGCATACCTATGGTTTGAAAAGCGTACCATGGTGGTATGAACAAACCAAGACTGTAGGATGACTGAATACATGATAGTAGAAGTATATTAACTGTCATTTACGACTTTTAACATTGTGTACCACAAGATACCACCCCATACCAGGGTGGTATTGTATGGTATTGTGTGGTATTTTTTGGTCCTGTAATTTGTTCACCTAGAAATTTGTAGATCCAATAGATCATGATGAACTCGTTCATTCTGGGCAAACGTTTTCAAAAATGAATTAAAAACGAAGAAGATACCATATGGTATGCAGTTGGTACCGAGAGGCAAGAATTTTTTTTCTCTAAAAATATTTAAAATGTATTTCATTTTGTAGAGCACAACGAACTCGTTCCCTCTGTGCAAAAAAAATTAAAATCCGAGTTAAAACGAAGAAGATATGAGCCGATTAAGTAAGTTAGGGAAAATAAAAATGGTCTTTAATTCTCCATCCCTAGATCTGAAGTTTCTAAATGAAGGGTCCACATTTAGTTATTGATGAGTGTATAACCCATGGTTATGCACCCTATCTTGAGCACTTAGCAACGGATAAGATATTTAACAAACACATTTAAGTTAAGTACTTCATTCACCTGCTAAGTACTTTACCCGTTGCCTCAGGTTGGATGCACCCACTAAATTTGGTTTGGAGAAAGGGACCGGTTACTATGACAACACCCCTTTGTGTTGTTATTGTAACAACACTAGTCTCCAACCAATAGGAAGCTAGGGTTGAGATGACTTTTTATTAGATGAGTTGACCTAGTGTAAAATCAAAGCAGGGGTATAATTGTCATTATGAAAAATCTGTTTAAATAATAAAAAATAAAAAAATAAAAAAAATAAAAATATTTTTTATTTTCGGCCGAAAATTTTGGTCGCCGGAATCTGGTCGCCGGTCACCGGAATATGCTTTTTTGTCACCAGAATATGCTTTTTTGTCACCGGAATATGCCACCGTCGCCGGAATATGCTTACCATGGTCGGAATATGCTTACCGGCGTCGGAATCTAGTCATCGGGGCCGGAATATGCCTATCGGCGCCGGAATCTACTCACTGACGGTCATCGGAGTTTGGTCAACGATTTTCGTTGACCGGTCAACGGTCTTCGTTGACCTGTCAACGGCCAACGACCACCGAATGTTATGGTCTGCATTGTGAGATTTATGGTTTGGTTTCTCATATTTTTGTATGCCTTTTGTGGTTTGCTTTATCGTGTTTGTGGTTTGCATTAAGAAATTTCTGGTTTGCTTTATCGTGTTTGTGGTTTGCATTGAGAAGTTTCTGGTTTGCTTTCATAAACTTTGTGGGTTGCATTGAGGGGTTTCTGGTTTGTTTTAATATATTTGTAGTCTGCATTGGGACGTTTATGGTTTGCTTTTTTGTGGTTTGATTTACTGTGTTTGTGGTTTGCATTAGGATGTTTCTGGTGTGCTTCGCAAATGTTGCGGTTTGCTTTGTGAGGTTTGTGGTTTGTTTTAAAAGATTTGTGGTATGCATTCGGAGATTTCTGGTTTGCATTAAGAAATTTCTGGTGTGCTTTCGAAACTTTTGTGGTTTGCTTTGCGAGGTTTCTGGTTTGTTTTAGGAGATTTGTGGTATGCATTAGGAGGTTTCTGGTTTGCATTAAGAAGTTTCTGGTTTGTTTTATCGCATTTGTGGTTTGCATTAGGAGGTTTTTGGTGTGTTTTAGAAATAGTTGTGGTTTGCTTTGTGGTGTTTCTAGTATGTTTTAGGCAATTTATAGTCTGCATTGGGAGGTTTCTGGTATGCTTTCTAAATAATTGTGGTATGCTTTTGTGATATTTGTAGTATGTTTTATAAGATTTATGATGTGCTTTCCAAGACTTTTGATATGCTTTCAAGTGAACTTGAAACTACTCGAACTTGTAAAAATATGCCAACATTTTCAACGTCGACATTCAAAAATCCTTCAATGTCGACATTCAAAAATCTCAGTGACAGCAATCAAACATTCAACAAAAATCTCATTTCACTAGAATCAATGGCAAGATTCAATCAAAATAAATGGCAAATCAAGACATATAATTGGGATGGAATAGAGCTAGAAGAGAACGAATGAGAAAAGAGCTGGGCAAATCAAGACATATGATTGAGATGGAATAAAGCTAGAAGAGATCGAATGAGAAAAGAGCTGGGCAAATCAAGACATATAATTGAGCTAGAATAGAGCTAGTTGTCTCAGATAGGGGGTGAGTGGGCAAGGAGGAGCAGTTGTTTCCAATCACACCATCATCCACCAACCGATCGTCAAGTTGTTATAATCAATTGCCTATACATAGTATCTTGCCGATCCCAGGTACAGCACTGTTGTATTGCTCTCACATGAGAGGGTATACTTGTTGTGTCCGCAGCTCTCAGGATCTGATTTGAGTCGGAATGGTGATTTAATGTCGGAAAAGGGAGGAATATAAAAATTCGAATCACAAACTCAATTGCTAGCTGTCCAGAGATGATCTCAAAATCCTGGCTCATCTTGGAGCTCTCAATTTACTCCGACAGAGTCTCCAATCGGCGACGCCTTGTTATCTCTGATTTCTCCGGCAACGACGTTCTTCCTCGCCTTCACGATCTCAAACGGCTGGTGACAGAAGAAGCAGAGGCGGCGGAGAAGAAGCAGGTGCGGCGAAGGACGAAGCGTGGCGGAGTAGAAACATCGCCACTGCGGGGTGGTCGGAAGGCAGGCCGTCGGAGATGCTATCCCGACGCCCAGCTGCCGTATCATCGATGGATGAAAGGAAGAAGATAGATTCAGATCTAGATGGGATGCAGGGATGAGACAGAGAAATTTGATTCATTATTTTTTAATTTCATTTAATTTAATTGAGTCTACTTGTAAGTTTACTCTTATACCCTTGTTGTTATAGTAACAACAAAAGGGCTGTTGTTATTCTATCCGTTCCCTTGGAGAAACTCGACCGGACCCAACCCGATTCAGTAGCAATTTCCAATTCAATTTACTAATCCAATCCAATCAATCTACTAACATATCATCAACTAATCAAATCCATTTAAATTCAATCAAGTTGATCCATATTCAATTAGATTGGTGAATTCATGGATTGCTGACAAATTGCACTTTAGTATCCATTTATTTTAAATTTTATAATTTGGTACCTAAAATTTACTTTTTATATGAAAGTGTCATTAGAAAATTACGTTATGATATATGAAATTTTTATTATGATATTTCAGTGCCCAAACATTTTTTTTACTCATTGGTCTGAGACTTGGCTGCTATTTGGAATCGTGGATCAATCCACTTTATCCAATTAAGGGGTGAATTACAAGTTTGGCCACTCAGCTAACTAATTTCTTTCATGTTTGACACTCAAAATAATTTTTTCTTTTATTGGTCGCAGTCTTATAATTCACCCAGTCTTTGAAATTTTAGGTTGAACATTGGAATATTGATGTTATACAAGCGTGTGTGAATTTTCACTATATGTTGGATCCAAATATGACATGCTGGTTTGATGCATTGTGATATGTTACTACTCATTCGTTAAATGAGATTTTATAATGATTTATAAATGTATTCACTATTCACAACATAATGATTTGACTAAAATGATCGAACCATTCACCCTCATACTTCAGCCCACTTACTCAACCAGACCAACATACTTGTTATGGGACAGCCCAAGTACCACATCGGTAATACAAGGGAAGGAATTCTTGTATATTAGTGTCAACTAAACTCATTAGTACGAAGCCTTTTGGGAAGCAGACTTAAGAGTAAAACCGTGCGGGCTTGGCCCAAAGCGGACAGTATCGTACTAATTGAGCTACCCAATTTTGACAAGTGGTATCAGAGTCTGGTTCGGTTCAGGACGATGGGCATCAGTTTGGTGGGACCCTCATTCGCTGACCTCGGGATTTGAGATATGCGCTTGTCTGGCGGGTCAAAGGTGATTCGCATAAAGAGTTTCACATTTGGGAAGCAGATCAAAGAGAGTTCTGCGTCTGGTAAAGGCCTTTTGGCTTGGTTAAGGGAAACCCACCGGAGCCGTAGCGAAAGCGAGTCTTCATAGGGCAATTGTCACTGCTTAACCGAGAAGCCCATCAATACAAGGTGTCTGGCGGATAATGATAATATCGCTAGGAATGGCAATGGGGCAGGTCCGGGGCGGGTTTCTTGGTACCCAGACCCGCCCCGTGACAGGTTGGATCTAGGTCAGGTAATTTATCATGGGTTGCAGGTCAGGGCAGGCCGACCCAATGGGTATGCAATTTATATGAAAAACATTAGAAATATTCGTTATTTTTATTATAAGACCAAGAAAACAAACAATATTATGATAAATGTAGTTAAATTATTAGAGAAATTGAGGTTTTCACTATTTTACAACTTTATTATAACTAAATTATGATGTAATAAAAGAAAATTCTAAGTAATTTGACTAAGATTACATGTAATTTAGGCAAGAACGGGTTGAGAATGAGGCGGGTAAGGACAGGTCGGGTCGATGAGAGTACCTATGCCCGCCCCGCCACGCCTACGGGGAGGGTCGAACCCGCCTCAAAACAGGCCAAACAGGTCGAGTAAAACGGGTTAGGTCGAAATTGCCATCCCTAAATATCGTTAAGGGGAGTACACGATATTCGTGGTCTTGGCTTGAGGGGAGGATTGTTATGAGGACAATCCAAGTACCACATCGGTAATACAAGGGAAGAAACCCTTGTATATTAGTGTCCACCAAGCTCATTAGTACGAGACCTTTTGGGGAGGACACCCAAGAGCAAAACCGTGTGGGCTGGGCCCAAAGCGGACAATATCGTACTAATTGAACAACTCGATTTCGACAAGTGGTATCATAGCCTGGTTCGGTTCGGGGCGGTCTCCTCAGCGATTATCTTGATTCGCTAGACACCTTGTATCGTTGGGATTCTTGGTACAAGGACTTTACCAGACGCAGAACTCTCTTCGATCTGCTTCCCAAATGCAAACCTCTTTTTGATCAGTCAGGTCCAAACGTGGATCTCTCCTGGATCCACCTCAAATCCCGAGGTCACCAATCAGGGTCCCACCAAACTAACGTCCACCGCCCCGAACCGAACTAGCATTGTTATTAAAGCCAAACCGAGCTGGTTGGTCAGACTGGTAAAACCGACACCTGACCACTAACTCGGTTCAGAATAATCCAAAAGCCGCAGCGGTCGAAGCGGTTAGCCGCTCGAGCGGTTTTAAGCACGCATGCTGCATTTGAAAAAAACACTCCTTACCTTTTCGGTCAGACACGGACTGTTGGGTGGAGTTACCAAAAAAATTAAATTTATACCGTCTCAATGCGGTTACTTCCCTATTTCCCAGGCACTTTTAATCATTTTATACTTTTCTTTTTCCATTTCCCCAAGACAAAGACACGGTTTCCCTATTCCCCTAGCCTTTTAAATTTTAATTTGATTTCCCACGCACATTACACAAGCGGTTGCTTAGGTATTAGCAAAAAAAAATTAATTTTTTATATATTCCAGCTATTCCAATGAATATTTGTTAAACATTTAATCATTTATACACACAAGATTTAGAATACTAGATAGGTTAAGCATTTATATACACGTAGATGTGTTATTACGTGTGTTTCTATATATAATTTTATTATATTATAAGGTATCATTTTATCGGTTTGTTTACGGGTTTTTAACGGCTCAATACCGGTTAAACCAGTAAAGTGCGAATCGTTCGCTTTGCCGGCTCATACTCCGGTTCAGTTCTGACAACATTGCGAACCAAGCTCTGATACCACTTTTCGAAATCAGACAGCTCAATTAGTACGATACTGTCCGTTTTTGGCCAAGCCTACACGATGTTTCTCTTGGATCTCCTTCCCAAAAACCTCATACTTATAAGTTTGACGGACACTAATATACAAAAGTTTCTTCCCTTATATTACTGATATGGTGATATGATACTTGGATTGTCTCATAACAATACTAAACAGTATTTACAGCAATGACTTATGCTGATTAGGCGGTATCCAGATCCGTGTCTTTGTCAGAACGACGAAGGACTTATTCTCACCTGGGACAGGGTTTGGTGAGTTGGATTCATACATGGATGGAAGTGAGTTTCGTGGGTATAGCTATATGTTAAAGTGGATCACCAGAACCTACGTCGAAAAAGTCTTGGTTTTGTTTTGGTTTGTTATATGTGGTTGGTTTTCACCAGAATGTCTTGTTTGTTTACCGGCATGGGTTTTCGATTACAAAGGAAGCAAATTACAACGAGGCTGTTGGGGACGCCGAATGGCAAACCCAGGTATTTGTGATAATCGAGATGAGAGGGTTTATAGAGACGGAAAGAAGAATCGAAATACAACGAGATCTACGTGATTTTCTTGTTCGATCAGATCGAACAGAGGGTTTTTTTTTTCATGTGAAAAAGGGTTTTATATGTCATTTTTATTGCATGCACTTCATGAGATCTTGCTCAGTGTTGACGGCATGGTTGACTTCTATGATGTGAGATTTTCCTAATGTGTTATCATACACTTTATCTTTGGAACTCAACGTTCTCGTTGAGGTTTGTCCAACGATCGTTCAAGAGAGACGCGAAGAGGATGTGATACCATTTGTAACATCTCGAATTCTTATTCCGACAAGATATTATCCGCTTTGTGTGTCTTAGCTAGACTCTCACGATTTTGGCCTTAGATTACATATCAATGTGACTTCCCATAAGGCCACCCATCCTTGTAGTGTTATGCAATAAGCATGTTTAACTTTGGAGTTAAAAAACGGTTTCATTTCACCAAAACATGTTAGTTGAGAAGATATAATTAGTATCACAATATCTATAGAATGAATTAATTAGTAGCTAGTCCTTATTAGGGATGGCAATGGGGAGGGTTTGCCTAAACCATCCTCATCCCCGCTTTCAAATATCTATACCCATACCCGCCCCATACCCATGCGGGGGAAGGTTTTGCAAACCCATCCCCATACCCATGGATTTCGGGTACCCATGGGTAATACCCGTCCCGTACATCCAACATTATAATACGGAATATTTTACATGTAGACTTTCAATTATAACATTAAACGCACCTACTATATCATGAAGTTTACAAAGAGACAATCATTTTTAATATGATTCAAAGCATCTTATCCTAAAGCATCCATTAATTCATATCAGAGTAGAGTACAATGTCATTCAAATCATTATTCTCTACTATGATACATCTATTAAGTAATAATTAACTTACATAATCTTGTTAACAAGGGGAAAAAGTGAGAGTGAAGGGAAAATTGAGACAAATAAATTAGATTTTGATTTGGGTGGTCAGTGGTCACTTAATTGCATTTCTACTATATATTTTTATTGAGTTATACTCACTATTATTGATAGGTTACAAATCGATTCACATATTTTTCATATGTGAAGAAATATTTTTGGTGGGGCGGGTATGGGTATGGGTATGGGGCGGGGAGGCTAAAACCATACCCGCCCCATACTCATCAAACTTTTTACGGGTTTTACCCATACCCAGTTTATACGGGGATTCCCCGCGTTGACTGGATCGGGGGCGGTCGGATACCCGTAAACATGGGTTTGATTGTCATCCCTAATCCTAATCATTTGACCGAGTCTATGTCCATTTCTCAATAAAATATGTGGTTGAAAGATACTCATCATAAATGTTATTATATTTAGCTGTGATTGTTCATTTGTTTGACCCAGTTTATGAAAGGATATAGGTGTGCACTTATCTTAGCAACGGATAAGATATTTTTACATTTCCTAGCGATATCAAGAGAGAACAATAATCAGACATACAAATCTACTCAGGATTCCATACAATCAACGCCCTAATGAAGCTATCCAACAAAGTCGAAATACTCTAACTCTAGACGAGACAAAAACAATGCTTTACTCGCCACCGGATAAGATATTTAACAACCGCATTTGATTTAAGTACTATATTCACCTTCTAAGTACTTTACCCGTTGCCTCCGGTTGGATCCACTGAATTTGGTTTGGAGAAACTCGACCGAACCAACCCGATTCAGTAGCAATTTCCAATTCAATCTACTAATCCAATCAATCTACTAAAATATCACCAAGTAATCAAATCAATTAAAATCCAAGCCAGATTTCAATTGGATTGGTGAATTCATGGATTGTTGGCAAATTGCAGTTTAGTACCTATATTTTTTAATTGGGTACCAGAAATCTATTTTTTATACGAAAGTATCATTGGAAAATTATGTCATGACACCTGAAATTTTTATTATGACATTTCAGTGCCCAAACTTTTTTTTTCTTTTACATATTGGTCTGAGACTTGAGGATGTTATTTGGATTCGTGGATCAATCTACCAATCCACTTTATACAATTCATGAATCCATAAATTCACTTGATCCGTGAATACACACAATCGATGTATTCAATCAATTTGCCACATGCAAGACATCGGTGCTTGGCCGGCACACAAGAATATATATATATATATAGTCACTTGGTGTTACATTGAATCGGTGGAAATCAAGCACTAAATAAAAATATTATCTCGAAGGATACACTCTGTAGACACAGCAATAGTCCAGCAGCAAGTGATCATAAATTATGGCAGCACCACTACTGCTGATCGCCGGCGGGTTCGCCGTACTTCCGATAGCCATCAAACGCCTGATGACGAGCAGTAGTATTAGTGGTAATGATAATCGGCGGCGGCGGCCGCCGCCTTCGCCGCCGAAGCTTCCGCTCCTCGGAAACCTCCACCAAATCGGCAACTACCCGCACCGGACCTTCGTCCGGCTGGCGGAGCGGTACGGATCCCCTCTCCTGCTGTTCCACTTCGGCAGCCGGCCGGTGGTCGTGGTCACCACGTCGGAGGCGGCGCGTGAGGTGTTGAAGACCCACGACGTCGTCTCGGCGGGGAAGCCCGAGTTCGGAACCCTCAAGAAGCTTCTCTACGACGGCAAGGACGTCGCCACGTGTCCCTACGGCGAGTACTGGAGGCAGACCCGACGGCTCTGCGTGATGCACCTCCTCAGCAACAGGAAGGTCCTGTCCTGCCGTGCAGCCAGGGAGGAAGAGGTTGGGTTGCTGGTCAATCGGATTAGAAAGGATGTTGAAAGACGTGAGGTGAGTAGCATACTTAATCCAATAATCAGATCGACCAATGATTTCATTAAAATATCCGACTAATCTAGTCCATTTAAATTCAGTTAATTTAATTTATATTCAATTTGATAAGTCGATTGATAGATATTTGAAAAATTATAGTTTACAATCTTTAGTATTTATATTTTGAAACCTAAATTCTAGTTTTTTTACGTAAAATATTATTGAAAAATGAGTTTCTGGTACCTAAAATTCTGTATGCAAACTTTTCAAAAATTTCATATTGGTCTAATATATTTTTTATATGGCGATGCATATTAGTCTAATATTACGTAGAATCATGAATCCAATCTATCAATAAATTTAATCCAATTCATAAATCCATCAAATCCATTCGATCAAAATTCATGAATCCAATCCACCAATCCATGAATATGATCCATTATTTATAAAATTTACTCTTATCGTTTCACTTTTCCTCACCTTATATCCTCCGTCAGTTTTAAACCGATGCTTTAGAAGCTCTATCATATCGTCCGGTCGGACCGAAAATACTGGATACCAAATCTCCAAACTGTAAGCCACGAAACGGTTCGATCACAATTTTTAATATAAAGTAACCTTCTCGCCATACTTTACCGGTATAACTTGCTTTTTTTTTTTTGTCAAAAGATACCATGTATTGATCGAAAAAATAGATAGTTACATCCTGGAACCCAATCAGGTCTAGAAATCAAAGAAGCGACTCATAGTCGGATACAAAGAAAGGGCTTTTCTAGCTACCGGTATAACTTGCTTCGTAACAGTTATTTTAAATTATTTGCTCTTCTAAACCGAGTTTCGATGTGTTTCCCTTTTGCGTTAATTACAGCCGGTGAACTTGAGCGAACTCCTTTCCTGCCTCGCCAACGACGTCATTTGCCGGACAGCTTTCGGTCGGAAGTACAGCATCGGCACTACCGCCGCCGCCGGCGGCCACCATGGCGGCGCCACCAACTTCAGGGACCAGCTGGCGGAGTTCATGGAGTTGCTGGGCGCTTTCAGCGTGGGCGACTTCATCCCTAGCCTCTCGTGGGTGAACCGGCTGACCGGGTTCGATGCCCGGGTCGACCGAGTTGCCAGTCAGTTTGATGAGTTGCTTGAAGGAGCCGTGGAGGAAGGTTTGGCCCGTTTGGAGAAACAGACGATCGATGTGGAAGGCGGCGACGACGACGACAGCCAAGCACCCTTCATCGACGTCTTGCTCCGTCTGCAAAAGGACAGCTCGGAAGCGTTCCGCCTTGATAGAGAGGGCATCAAAGCTGTGATCTTGGTAATCTATATGAACTTTTCTCATCGCATCTCCTCTTACAGCATCTTATACATAGATAGGGATGACAATTTTCGACCTAACATGTTCTGATCCGCTCCATTTTTAACCCAATTTTACTCAAATTAGTTAGAATTTCATTTTTATTTTCATATTTTAACTATAATAAATTTACAGATAAGTGAGAACCTCAATTTTGAATAATTTAATTACATTTATCATATTATAGTTTGTTTCTTGAGGTGTCAATGAAAAATATAAATATTTCTAATGATTTTTATTTTAAACGTCATACTCATATCGGTTGATATGCTCCGACCCACGCCACATATTAAATTACCCGAACTACCACGGGGCGAGTATGGGTATCGAAATACCCACCCCGAACCTGCTCTATTGTCATTCCTACTCATAACCCCCCCAAAAAAAAGGCAGTAGACTGTGATAGACCGCCGAAAACAATTTTAAACTAGCCCTAAATTTCCCTTCCCGTTCTTTTTTTTAGATAAGGGTGATATAGATTTGTTTTCATTATAAGGTGTCACTTGAAGAATTCAAACCTATGACTTCTAGGTTCAAAACTAGTAGTGGTACCGGTATCACTGGACCAAGCTCTTGTTTGCTACACTAACTAGTTCTTAATTCGAAATGATTCGCACAGGACCTGTTCGTGGGAGGAACAGACACGACATCGACGCTTCTCGAATGGACAATGTCTGAGCTGATAAAGCATCCTAGGGTGATGAAGAAGCTGCAGGAGGAGCTAAGAACCAAAATCGGCCGCGAAATCGAGACGGTCCACGAGGCCGATTTGGTGGAAGAACTGGAGTACCTGAACCTCGTCATCAGAGAGACGATCCGCCTGCACCCTCCGATCCCGTTGCTGGCTCCAAGACAGATGACTCAGGACGCGACCATAATGGGTTACGACGTGCCATCGGGGACCATGATCATGACCAACGCCTGGGGGATTGGAAGGGACGCCAAGGACTGGCCCGAGTCGCCGGAAGCATTCTGGCCGGAGAGATTTCTCGACGGTAATAATGTGGATTTCAGGGGCCAGGATTACCAGTTGATCCCGTTTGGCGCCGGAAGGAGAGGGTGTCCGGGGATATCTTTCGCCCTCGCGGTGGTGGAGCTCGCACTGGCGAATCTGGTGAGGAACTTCGATTGGGAGCTTCCCGGCGGAGTTCGCGGGGAGGATCTGGATATGACCGAGTGTGTTGGTCTCACAATGCACCGCCAGCTCCCTCTTCTTGCTATTCCCAACCGTTATATCGCTGTTGATTGATACGGCATTTGAAAATTCACGAGTAATTCAGTAAAAAAAAAAAAACGTGTTTGGAATACCAATTTCAAAATCTTTCATATCCACACCCTCACAATTATTCATTTCTTTGGTTACTATTTATCAAATAATGAAAAAGGTATTACGTACTATTATTACCAATAGTAATTCAAAATGACTTAGAATACATGTACATAAAAAATATCTCGTAATTTTGTCGTTTGTTAATTTGACAGGTCAATCACTCCGTGGACTTAGACTGTCTTTGTGGAATTGGGGATTGATTTAATTATATTCAGGGGTGTCCATTCGGGTTCGGTTTTTCGGGTTTACCCGAAACCGATCCGATTATGTACATTTTCGGTTTTTCGGGTTCGGGTTCGTTTCGGGTTTCGGGTTTTTCGGTTTCGGGTTTGGTTTTGCTTATCGGTTTTTCGGGTTCCGGCTAAAACCTCCAATGAATAGAACTCAGCCCGTATTTTTAAACTTTCGGGTTTTCGGGTTTCGGTTTTGCTTTAACCGAACCCGAACCCAATAAGGAATTTTTGGGTTTCGGTTACCCGAAACCCGCAAGTCCTTATCGGGTTCGGTTTTAGTGATTTTCGGTTTTGGGTTATTGGGTTTTCTCGAGTTTCGGTTTGGGTAACCGAACCCGACCCGAACCGACACCCCTAATTATATTATACAAAAAAGGACGACTAACTTGGAATTTATTAGGTTATCCATACATTTCGTTTTCGTGCAAGTGTAGTAATATATATATGGCGTGGTCAGGAATCTCAGGATGATAGTCGTTGCCCGACCGAATACTTTATAGCCTCCTCTAAATAGTTAGTAAATACTAAATACTCTGTTTAATACATGTATATGTACCCGTTTTAAAATTTTTGTATCCGTATTGTTAAGCCGTTTCATTCGTTTTTGTTCATTTAATAGCTCACGTACTAAACACGTATAAAACCCGTATAACATATTTAATATCCGTATTTAATCAATTAAATTATTAACTTTGCTATTTTTTATTTATTTTTTTATTTTAAAAAATAATTAATTTATGACTATTAACGTACTATTAAAAGTAACATTAGCTACAGCTTGTTCTCTTCGTGATCAAGTTTTTCACGTCGGTAATGGGCCGGTACTCTAGCAATGCTTAACAGCTAACACTACTCATGAATCCGAAACACAACCGGGCCGGGCCTGGTCAGGTTGGATTAGTCAGCGGGCCCAATTTAAATGTAGATATGTATAGAAACCTGCGGCCAAGTTTCTGTTTGGCTGTTTACTAGACAGTGATGTGGTTGGCTTTCATGATGCCATGCGTTTGTACTTTGTAAGATATAATTTGGAGCCAGATCCATAGTACTGATTACTGAAAGTGATACGCTGTCGTCTTCTTGACTCCTTTCCTTTGTGTTGTTTTTCGTTTGTCCTTGAACCTGATTCCATTAATAAGTTGGACGGATCGAAGCTAAACCAAACAATAAATAAATATAAACAAAGTTAAGAAGACGCCAGCCTGGCCCTACTTGGTTGGTTGGCCGTATTCTGTGGGTCTGCCTGCCTTTCACGATCCCAATTCTTTTGGTGGGAGTCGCCGGGTCCGGAATCTATCAGTAACCGACCTATCAGTAACGGTCAGTAACCGATGATCCGGCCGTCCATCGCGCCATCTTCCCAGCCGTCAGATCATCCCAGTTAAAATACACGCGGGGCAAAAACGTAATCACGTCTCTGACAATTTGAATTGCAGACGTGACAGCGACAACTGTCCCGCCTTCTCTCCTTCTTCCTCTCACCTTTCAAGCGACAGTTCCACTTCCCTCTCTGCTCTCTAACTCTCCATTCTTCCTCCCGATTCTCAATTCTCTCACCAAAATCGCAGCAAAAACTTCCAGAAAAAACTTCAAATCGAACGATTTTCGCAAAGGATTTCGAAGAATCATTCAACGATACACTGTTATCGCTTCTTCGTCGAAAAACGAAGAGTTTCCAACTTCAACGAGTCTCAAAAATCGTTTTCGCACAAAATATCAAGGTAAAATCTCACTTCTTTCTTCGAAATCCATCCACAGAACAATAGAACAGTATCGCAGTCACTTTCCATGCGTTGCTGAACTGATGTAGAATCTGTTGTGTTTTGCTTCATTACCATATGGTAATGAGTGGTAAATTAAGATTGCATGTTCTAAAATAACAAAAAACCATAAGTCCTGCTGTGTTTTGTTCGTTACCATATGGTAATGTATGGTAAGTTATGATTGCATGTTGTAAAATAGCAAAAAACCATAAGTCCTGCTGTGTTTTAGTTTGTTACCATATGGTAATGTATGGTAAATTATGGTTTCATGTTGTAAATAAGCAAAAAACCATAAGTCCTACTGTGTTTTACTTCGTTACCATATGGTAATGTGTGGTAAACTATGGTTTCATGTTGTAAAATACCAAAAAACCATAAGTCCTGCTGTGTTTTGCTTCGTTACCATATGGTAATGTGTGGTAAACTATGGTTTCATGTTGTAAAATAGCAAAAAACCATAAGTCCTGCTGTGTTTTGCTTCGTTACCACATGGTAATGTGTGGTAAACTATGGTTTCATGTTGTAAAATAGCACAAAACCATAAGTCCTGCTGTGTTTTACTTCGTTACCATATGGTAATGTGTGGTAAACTATGGTTTCATGTTGTAAAATAGCAAAAAACCGTAAGTCCTACTGTGTTTTAGTTTGTTACCATATGGTAATGTGTGGTAAACTGTGGTTTCATGTTGTAAAATAGCAAAAAAACCATAAGTCCTGCTGTGTTTTAGTTTATTACCATATGGTAATGTGTGGTAAGCTATGGTTTCATGTTGTAAAAATAGCAAAAAACCATAAATCCTGCTGTGTTTTAGTTTGTTACTATATGGTAATGTGTGGTAAGCTATGGTTTCATGCTATAAAAATGGAGGAAAACATACATCCTGTTGTGTTTTACTTCGTTACCATATGGTAATATGTTATAAGACATGCTTTGATGTAATTACCATATGGTAAAATGAGATAAATATATGGTTTGATTTGGTATGGTAGGAAACCATTATGGTACCATATGGTATATCATGGTAAAAAGCGCGCTAACAGACTATTCCTAATTTCTACATTCAGGTACACTATGGTAAAGCAAAGAAAAAAATTTCGCACAAGGTGCAGCCCAACAAGAATATCTGCAATTGCAAGGACTATAAAAGATGACCAGAAAGAGAAACTTGAGATATTAGGCCTAGCAGGCTTAATAACAATCAAGCAGACAAAGATAAACAACAATTTTGCACTGTTCGTAATGAACAAATACAATCCAATGAAACAATCTTTCAAGCTACCTGACGGGACACGCATGAAGATATCACCAATCGACTTTCATAGGGTATATGGGCTGCCAATGGGGAATAGGGAAGTTGTACCTCCCACGATTTCTTGGGACGACGCAGCAGATTATGCAGTAGAAACCCTACTGGAAGTAGATGGAAAATCCACTCCAAGGGTAAAGCTAAGTCAGGTAGAAAAAGATCTTTCTACAGTTACCAACAGTAAGAGATGGTTACAATTATTCTTTCTGCTGGTCACCGGAGGCTTGCTGTGCCCAAGTTCAGCCCCTATGGCTGAACTCAACATGCTTGAGTACTTGAAGACTGATGAACAGAAACATTTCACCAGCTAAAACTGGTGCAAATACTTCTTCAACCACATGAATGAAGGATTGAAATCATCAAAGCTCTACGTCAATGCAGATCTTCACTTCCTTACAGTAAGTCTCCATTCCCTTGGCCATTTCAACCTTGTTACTCATATATTTTATATATAAATGATACTCTTTGAAAAAACTAATACAACTATCTGCATAAAAAGGTATGCTTCATGTACAAACTGGACGAAATGGCATTCTCAACCCAGCTTCGAACACCAACAGTAAGCTACTATGATGATAACAATGTTAATAGCAACTTTGAGAACATTAAGAGCTACTACAATGGAAAACAGTTGAACGAGATCGAAAAGGTTGCCAACATTAGAGACGATGAGGTTGATGATGAGGCTGATGACGCAGCTGATGAGGAAGAGGAGAATGAGCCAGTCTATGAATCACCGAAAAGACAAAGAAACAAAAGTCCAGAGCAATCATCATCACTGAACTTTGATTTGAAGAATATCAGAACAGTCAACCAAGTAAGTACAAATTATCTATATTACAGTTGTCCAATTCAAATTATCTATATTACAGTTGTCCAATACATGCTAAGCGTAAGTCCTTCTGTGTTTTAGTTTGTTACCATATGGTAAAGTGTGGTAAGCTATGGTTTCATGTTATAAAAATGGAGCAAAACATAAGTCCTGTTGTGGTTTACTTCGTTACCATATGGTAATGTGTGGTAAGCAATGATTTCATGTTATAAAAATGGAGGAAACCATAATTCTTGTTCTGTTTTACTTTGTTACCATATGGTAATGTGTGGTAAGCAATGGTTTCATGTTATAAATGGAGGAAACCATAATTCTTGTTCTGTTTTACTTTGTTACCATATGGTAATGTGTGGTAATCTACGGTTTCATGTTATAAAAATGGAGGAAAACATAAGTCCTGTTGTGTTTTAATACGTTACCATATGGTAATGTGTGGTAAGCAATGAATTCATGTTATAAAAAATGGAGGAAACCATAATTCTTGTTCTGTTTTACTTTGTTACCATATGGTAAGGTGTGGTAAGATACAGTTTCATGTTATAAAAATGCAGAATAGTGATAATAATTGCCAATACCATGTATTACCACCATGCTCTCATTATGCAGGCTGAGAATGCAATCAAACTGCTTGAAGCATCAATGAAGGCAATGATGAAAGCAATAAAAGACCAGTACAAAAGCCAAATTGAGAATCTGATCAGACACAAGGAGAATCTTGCGAAAGAAAGTTGTGATGAATATGTCCAGCCCACAGAAGGAGAAAAATCTCAGTGTGAAGATGATGAAGAAGAGAATGATGAAGAAATGCATGACAGTTTGAATAAAACACTCAATGAAATATTCAAACAGACAAACATAGACCAGAACGAAGAGGAGAACGAGGAGCAAACACAGAAAGAAGATGATTCACAACCATCTACAGTCGATCTTGCTGCATCTACACCGAAGCCAAAAGAAAAGGAGCAAGATGATTCTGCTCCAGGAGCTGTGAATAGAGAAAGCATCCCAAAAGAAGGAGATCCACTGGGGGAAGTTGCAACAGAGGACACCCAGAAAGCAGTTCCAGAACAGACATCTGCAGAAGAAACCGAACAAAAAGGAGCTACCAAAACAGCAGATCCAATGGAAGTTGATAAGGAAACAAGAGAAGAAGGGAATACAGGGCAAGCTGCACAAAAGACTGCAGAAACTGACAGCGAGAAGACGGTGTCAGATGATGTTGTTCGTGAAGAGGCTCCAAAACTGACAACCGAAGCTGCTGAGAAGCCTAAAGTGACAAGGGAAGACGACATTCCATCCTTTGATCTCAGCCCTCTCAACCGTCAAACACCAACAACACCAACAAAGTTGACTACCAACACGGCAACCGATCAACCAGCAGAGCCTCCCAAAAGAAGAATCGTGATAAAGAATGTACACGGAAATGAAAAGAAGGCAAGAGCAACACCACCACCAGAACAGCCACAAAGCACCCAGTCACAGACGGGGTCATATGCTATATGGTCAAATCTGTACACAAACAGCCAAGAGAAGCTCAAGGAAGTCCGTGAATGCATAGATGCTTACCTAGAGGACCTGAATTCTCCAGCTGCCGAACCAGTTGCTCCACAGTCACAAAAATCACCAGTTGAATGGTCAACACCAACACAAACAACACCTGATGATATGTTCAGCAACATCCTCGAGTACATAAGATGCAAAAACAAGAAATTTGCCAAGAGGTAAGTCATCATCTTAAAACTTCTACTGTTATATGATGTTACTGTAGTGATCTAGTTTGTTACCATATGGTAAAATATGGTAAGATATGGTAAAATTAGACAAATCTATGGTTTAATGTTACAAAATGTAGTAATGCACAAGTCCTGTTTTGTTTTAGTTTAATACCATATGGTATGATGTGGTAAGCTAAGGTTTGTTGTTAAAGAATGGATTAAACCATAACTCCTGTTCTATTTTACTTATTACCATATGGTAAGATGTGGTAAGCTGGTGTGTTTTACTTATTACCATATGGTAAAATGTGGTAAGCTGGTGTGTTTTACTTATTACCATATGGTAAGATGTGGTAAGCTGGTGTGCTTTACTTATTACCATATGATAAGATGTGGTAAGCTATGGTTTTGTTGTGGTAACCTATTGTTTGATGTGATAAATTAAAGTAAACCATCCGTCCTGTTGTGATGTGCTTGTATACAGTGATGAGATAATGTTTAAAAGGAAGGATGGAACATTCATGCTGAAAAGGGAGTCAGTACAGTCGATTGACATTGGCTGTGAAATCACATCTGATGTCATCGGCTGGTATGGAGATGTAATGAACAGGAATGAAGCAAAAAAAGGAAAATTCACAAGGTGGTTCTTCGATACATCTTTGGCAGTAAGTAAACCCACCCATATTCTGTCAAAAGTTCTTAGACAACACATATATAAAACACATAATAACAACCACAACTTTTAGGGTGACTGCCAACTGGACATTGATAGTGGCAATCCTGTACTATCTCCAGACGATTACTACAACAAAGTGGACTTGGACATCACCAACAAAGAATGGGCCAAAAACCTCAGCTTCACAGAATGTAACCTTGTAAGTATCTCACCACAATTTTTGCAGTGGTTACCATATGGTATATAGTGGTAAAATTAGTTTGCAATTGTTCTTAACTTAACTTACTGTTCATCACTTATATGGCACCTGCTTACCATATGGTATACTGTGGTAAAATTATTTTGCAGTGGTTCTTCCCTTACTGTAATAACAAGCACTACATCATGATTTGTGTCAACATCAAAGCAGAGAGATTTGAAGTGCTCGACAGTCTCCGTCACAAAGATTTTGAAAAAACATACAAATCAATGGCAGAGAGGGTTGTCCAGTACGCAATCAACTACATGAAGACACAGTTTGCAGACAAGACAGTAAGGTGGGAGAGGTTTAGCTGGTTCAAGCTCGAGAAGGTTACACAACCAGATCAAATTTCATGTGGGATGTACGTCATCAGGTGGATGAGACACTGGGAAGGTAAGTACAACAGTGCCCTGACCAAAGATTGGAAGAGGATTGATCTCATAAATGAAGAAAGGGAGTGCCTGATGTTGGACATCATTCTTGATGAAGAAAATCTTGAACGGGAAAGGATCATGAAAGAAGCAACAAAGTACTGCAACATGAAGAACAAGAAGAAAGAGTTGAAAGGAAGGAAATGAAAATTCTATTATCATTTGTGTTAAGTAGTAGAAGGGTATGAGTAAGCTTTTGAGAACAAACTCACAATGTTCAGTAGCCACTTCATTTTAATTAGTAGGATGGTATGAAACAACTTATTATGGTTTGTATTATGACTAAAAGAAATGTTCTGTTTTTTATTATGTTAGCAAATACTTAACATGTGTTCTTAATTCCCAAATTACCACATTTTACCATATGGTAATGTGTGGTAAATTATGATTGCATGTTGTAAAATAACAAAAAACCATAAGTCCTGTTGTGTTTTGCTTCGTTACCATATGGTAATGTGTGGTAAATTATGATTGCATGTTGTAAAATAGCAAAAAACCATAAGGCATGCTGTCTTTTAGTTTGTTACCATATGGTAATGTATGGTAAATTATGGTTTCATGTTGTAAATAAGCAAAAAACCATAAGTCCTGCTGTGTTTTGGTTTGTTACCATATGGTAATGTGTGGTAAACTATGGTTTCATGTTGTAAAATGTTGTAAAATAGCAAAAAAACCATAAGTCCTGCTGTGTTTTAGTTTGTTACCACATTTTACCACATGGTAATGCACTGTAAAATCAATTACAACACATACCACTTCCAAAAAAACCATATTTTACCACATGGTATGGCATGGTAAAAATAAATTACAACACTATACCATATGCTATGACAAGGTAAAATCAAATTACCACACTATACCATATGGTATGGCATGGTAAAATCAATTATCACACAGAACCCTCACATTTAACTTCCTAATTACCATATTTTACCACATGGTAATGTACTGTAAAATCAATTACCACACATGCCACATCCAAAAAATCATATTTTACCACATGGTAAAATCAATTACCACACATTACCACATGGTAAAATCAAATTACCACACTATACCATATGGTATGGCATGGTAAAATCAATTATAAAACAGAACCTTCACATTCAACTTCCAAACTAGCACATTTTACCACCTGGTTTGACATGATAAAATCAAATTACCACATTATACCACATGGTATAACATTGTAAAATTAATCCAACAAAACCAAAAACCCATCCAAAAGAACAAAATAGCTTCAACAACTCAACCAGCATCAACCATTCATTCAGATAATCCTCTAAGAAAACTATTACATCTTCAGCCTTAAACTTTCTTCAACAGCCTTCAAATTCTCCTCCTCAAGCCTGCTAGTTTTTCTCTTCTTCTTGCTTACAGCCCTTGCAGCCTCCGCAGCTGGAATTGGTCGTTTCGAAGGCTTGAATGAATCTTTTTTAGGATTAAACCCCTTCACTTTTTGGACCGGTACATCATCTATACAAAGATAACAAAAACAAACTACAATCAATGACAGATAATGATGACTCGATATTTGCACAGGTTTTCCCCTTTGTTCCTTGATCGTTTAAGCTTGCATTATTGCTTCTTTGGCCTATTTTACGCTAGGTTGTGTTCCTTTGTCATATTTCAGGTCCTAGCACATAAAGTGAAGCATAGGCGCAAGTTTCAAGTCAATCAGAGATCAATTGGCGATTCGGGAGAAGAAACTCTGGCATGACCTGAAGAAGAATGGATTTCTACCTCACTTTATGGACAAAGAATCGTGCAAGTTTGACATTAAAACCCAAACCCGCTATACTACGTTTTAGGAAGTGGTTACACTTGGCCATTTTCTAGAGTGACAGTAGGAGTGAGTCAAGTTTTTGGCGCCGTTGCCGGGGACGGCTAGGTTGTTGAAGAAAAGTGATTTCTGTTACTCTAGCTTTTCTTTTCGCTTTGTTTGCTTTGTCCCACTTGTGCCTTCACGGGTTTGCTTGCTTGAGTGTGTGCAGATAGTGCATGACCCGTAGCCAGTCAGGAGGTTTACTGCCGTTGGATCCAGAGCTTGAACGCACTTGCCGCCAACTTAGGAGACAGCAGCGAGCTAGACTGGTTACGGGAGAGCGCATAGACGGCCACTTGACCAGCGATTCTGAGGAAGAGTACGAGATGGAGGGCGAAGACATCCCACAACCGGGGAATGCTCGACAGGCTCCCCCGGTGAATCAGCATCCACCACCACCGTCGGGTCCCACTTTGGAGTACTACTACACTCCACGGATTGCTGACATCCGCTCGGTCATCCTCTATCCACCCATCCCAGCAAATAACTTCGAGATCAAGCCAGGATGGATTCAGCTCATCACATCCTCTATCCAGTTCCATGGCTTGAAGGATGAGGAAGCCCGGGCACACCTTTCCCGTTTTCTGCAGCTGACGAACGGGTTCAAGCTGAATGGTGTTCCGGATGAGGCAATCCGCCTTCACCTCTTCCCCCATTCTCTGGCGGGGAATGCTAAGAGGTGGTTGGAGACCCAGCCCCCACTGTCCATCACTTCTTGGGACGATCTGGCGGATAAGTTCGTGCACAGATATTATCCGGCATCGAAGACTACTGAGATTCAGCGGGAGATCACTCATTTCCGCCAAGAGCCAGATGAGTCCCTTCGTGATGCATGGGAGCGGTACATGGGATACTTCTGGCAGTGTCCCCATCATGGCTTCAGCGATGCTTTCACAGTGGGGAACTTCTACAGTGCCATCACCCCAGACAGCCAGAGGGTGATCGAGTCTCTATGCCCAGGAGGGGATATCCTTACTAAGACTCCACCCGAGCTGAACCAGATGATCAGTACCTTGGCTGCCCGCGATCATTCCTGGGGGCAGAGCAGCAGAGGCAGGCACTCCCGGGACCGTGGTGTGCATGCTATGGAGGCCAGATCCGGGTTAGAGCAGCAGGTGGCTGAGTTGGTGCAGACACTGAAGCAGCCTAACAGTCTCCTTCCGGGCTGAGGTGTAGCTGCGCCTCCAGTAGCTCAGTGTCAGTGGTGTGAGAGTCCAAACCATCTGGTGGAGGACTGCCAGGCTATGCGGGAGTCATCTACTCCCCAAGAACAGTTGGCCTTCATCGCCAATGCTCGGCGCCTCGATCCATACAGTAGCACATACAATGAGGGATGGCGCCAGCATCCCAACTTCGCCTGGAGCAACAACACCAGTAAACCACCTGGTTTCCCAGCACCAGCAGGTGGTTTCCAGCAGAGGCAGCCTTTCCAGGCTAGGCAAGGGCAGCCGTTCCAGCAGCCTCAGCGTCAGTATGCCGAGCCCGCAGCAGCGCCAGCTCCCGATACTCAGATATCCGAGCTGAAGAACGTTTTGGCGGCATTCATGACCACCAGCCAGGCGACTATCGCGAGGATGGATCAGTCCATAGCTTCCTTGGAGGCAGGCCAGCGAACCCTGGAGGCAGGCCAGAGGAACCAGGGTGTCATTCTGCAGGATCTCCAGCACCAGATAGGGGACTTAGCTCGCCAGAATACTACCAGGGCACCGGGGACTCTGCCTGCCACCACTGTCCCCAATCCTCGCGGCCCTCACGAGACTGCCCATGCCATTTTCACCAGAAGCGGCAGGCCTACATCAGCTGATCCTGCCCCGACCAGGCAGGAGGAACCACTACCTGCTTCAGCACTTCCAGCCGGTGATGCAGAAGTGCGGGTGGAGAAGGAAGCCCCTGCTCCCAAGCCACAACCAGTGGTGAAGGAGCACGTACCCCAGCTTCCCTTCCCCACTCGCCTCCATAAAGATAAGCTGGAGACTGAGTTTGCCAAGTTCATGGCAATGTTGAAGCAGCTCAACATCAGCATACCATTTGTGGAGGCACTGTCGAAGATGCCCAAGTACGCGAAGTTCATGAAAGATCTCTGCACCAACAAGAAGAAACTAGGGGATCTCTCGACAGTGCTGCTGAGCGAGGAATGTTCTGCCATCCTGCAGAACAAGCTGCCCGAAAAGCGCAAGGATCCAGGGAGTTTTACTATCCCTCTTACTATTGGCAGCATGCATGTAGGAAAGTCCTTGGCGGACCTAGGAGCTAGCATTAATGTCATGCCATATAAATTGTTCAAAAAGCTAGACCTAGGTGAACTTAGCCCTACTAGGATGAGCATTCAGCTAGCTGATCGTTCTGTGGTGCATCCTAGGGGTATCATAGAGGATTTGCTTGTTAATGTGGGTGCATTCACATATCCTGTTGATTTTGTTATTCTGGATATAAATGATGATGTGGATGTGCCTTTGATTCTGGGTAGACCATTTCTTGCCACCGCCAAGGCATTGATTGATGTGCATGATGGTAAACTGATCTTGCGTGCTGGAAATGAACAGGCTGTTTTTCCTGTGACTGAGTTTGATCATTGTGCTATGATTTCTGTATCGCCTGTGCATGCTATTTCTGATCAGGTACACGAGCCTGTCATGTATCCTTCTGCACCTCTCATTTTGCAGGTCCCGCCTATTATTCCTTCGCCGCCACTCCATCCAGTCTCGCCTCCGAACAAAAAGCTCAAGGAGGAGTGGCGGCCGAAGCCGCAGGTGGCTAAGCCTGTACGGAAGAAGAGTGGAGACCACTATGAGCTGGTCCCACCCCCTGCACCACGACCACCCTGGCCATCCGAGTACTCACTCGCCTGCATCTTGCCGGATGGCCAGGTCGAGCTGACCACTGCTGGTGGTTGCCACCGTCGGGTGCACGGTCACCACCTGAAGCTGTACCTCAAGAGCGATGTGGATCCGCTCTTGGAGGCACCTGTTCCTGCACCTCCCTGAGTATCCACCATGGGCGTCCAGCTAAAAGACGGTAAAGAAGCGCTTTTGGGGAGGCAACCCCACCACGGTTTGACTTTCTTTCTTATGTTTCGAGTCGGATTGCGATTTGGTTTTGTTTTGGTTTGTTTCCTTTGTTCTGGATGATGTCTTATTGGGCTGACATCGGACCTAACACATTCTGGTTGAGCTCTTCTGTTCCCTTTGAGCTGAGATGCGTTCCCGACTGGTCCATTTCCAGTCTTCTGCAGTCCGTGCATACCGGTAACATCGTTCCCCTTTCCTTCCCCCTTCTCCATTGAGGGCAATGTCGATCTTAAGTGTGGGGGGGGTGTTTATCTTTTGACTGCATTAGATCTGTTTGTGTGCTTGGAGCCTAGTCCACTTTCCAAATTTCAATTTGAGGGCTCCAAGTACGTGTTCCTTGCAATTACCTGCTCAGTATGCTTTGAATTGACAGTCTCTGTAGTGATTTGCAACCTAGGGAGGTAGTGTAGCGCTATGGAGGATGTTGATGCATTTAAGACGTCTCATTTCTTCTTCATATTGTGTTGGTTGATTGAGTGAATTAGTGATCTTAGGACCCTTGAATTGTGTGGTGTTGTGGACTCTCTGCCTGTCATGGACTCTTGTATCATGTTTTGAAAGTAACAGGTGCTCGAAATGTGCTTTGAAATAACGTCTCCCGTGCGAATAGGGCGAAAGTGTGTAAGGGGAGACGGGAATCCGTTCCCAATTTCCACCTACTACCTCCAGCCCCCTTACATGTCTTTCCCCCGCACGAGGCTCGAGACAACTGCTCCTGGCATGGCCGGTAAGAGCCGGGCTCTCGCAAAACCTTTGCTAGGTGGGAGCCCCCGTTTTCTGCAAAAACAGGTTGGAACCCTTGAAAAAAAGAGAAAAACAAGCAAAAAGAAGAAAGAAAAGGGGTTCCAACCATCTTCAAGAAGAAAATCGAGCACCTTGAAAAATGTGAGTCCATGATCTTTTGTTTTTGAGAGTCTCTTCATCCACGATTCATTTGTCCTCTGTTCACTATTTGCCATGATGCCGACTCGAGACTAGCGTTCTCGCCGAAGAGGCTATGAGATGACTTGTGCGTCGGTTGACCTCGTAAGCTGCTAAATGATCTAGGAAGTCCGCTACCTACGATCGAAGTTGTTTGTTGCTATAGAGGTCTGGAGAGTTGCATTGGTTTGAGTTAGGTTTGCTTGGGGACAAGCAAACGGTTAAGTGTGGGGGGATTTGATGACTCGATATTTGCACAGGTTTTCCCCTTTGTTCCTTGATCGTTTAAGCTTGCATTATTGCTTCTTTGGCCTATTTTACGCTAGGTTGTGTTCCTTTGTCACATTTCAGGTCCTAGCACATAAAGTGAAGCATAGGCGCAAGTTTCAAGTCAATCAGAGATCAATTGGCGATTCGGGAGAAGAAACTCTGGCATGACCTGAAGAAGAATGGATTTCTACCTCACTTTATGGACAAAGAATCGTGCAAGTTTGACATTAAAACCCAAACCCGCTATACTACGTTTTAGGAAGTGGTTACACTTGGCCATTTTCTAGAGTGACAGTAGGAGTGAGTCAGATAACAAAAACAAAAACAAACTCTAAACAATTAAAAAAAACTTACTGTCACCGTTAGAAGACGTGCTTGTTCCAGCAGGTTCAGTAATCGATAGGGCTTCACACTTTTTGATCAAATCAGTCATGAAGGCCATGGCTGATTTATACAAATCATCATCCAATGCAACCCTGCTGATCATTGATGCAGAAACAGCTGACAGATTGAAAAGACGAGAACGGTATTTCGATGGACTATCAGTAGACGGAACTTCAAAAGAAAAGTTCCCTCCAGTTTTCGCTGCCCTTGTCCACCGCTTCAAAATCAAACTGCTAGGAATGTGCTGGAACTTCAGATTGCACGTTGTAGACCACAACATATCATATCCCTTAATTTGATGCTTACAGATCATACCACTTGACTCCCACTTACGGCAAGAACACTTGATTTCACCGTTTTCAAAATCAACCTTCAACACCCTACTATCCAACCTTGTAAGGTCATCCTCCAATATGAAGACATCAAACAGTCCTATATGTCCTTCTGGTTCTATCTCCGTATTGGAAAAAATATTATACGCAAGGGATTCCTTGTACTAATCCAGGAAAAACTTGAATATCTTCGGCGTATACACATTAGCAACTTGCTTCACAATAGGGCTAGTAGAAAACCAAGAATCAGCCAACCTAGATAAGGCATAGTACTCTTCTTGTTCTTCAGCATCCCTCTTATTATCAAGCATCCTCTCAAAGTGCACAAAGAACCTACTAACGCTAAACTCTGACTGCAATGTCGAATATTACTATTGCAGCACTCACTTAGCTGGGTACTCTTCATTCCCGCACCAAAATGACAATTCACCCAGGCTGAAGACCACTTCGTCCTGACTTTGTAAATGCCCTGTAACCAACTGTGTCCCAAAGGTCCCTTCCCAGGAAAACACTTCTCAATCATCTTCTTCCAATTATACTCAAAATCATCCTCATCATCAGCATTATACATCAAATAACTAAGCTCACGAAGGAAGTCAGAGTCACACAAACTTCCCAGATTAACAACTGCATTCTGAGCAATATGCCATGTACACAAACCATGAAAACAATCTGGGAAAACAGACCTTATACCAGCAGCAATTGCAGCAGCCTGGTCAGTAAACATTGATAACGGTCTCACACCTCCCATGCATTTCAAAAACTGATCGAAAAGCCATTCAAATGTTGCCGTTGTTTCATCATAGAGAAGAGCAGCAGCAAAGACAGTCAGTTGGTGATGATTGTTGAAACCAACAAACAAAGCTACATAAACATAACAAAATGTGAGTAAAAACAATTCTACCAACACATACCATGTGGTAAAAGGTACGAATAACAATAATACCAACCCATACCATATGGTAAAGACTCATACCATGTGGTAAAGACTTCTAAGAACAAAAAAAAACAATCCACACCAGACTACCATATAGTACACACTTCTAACAACGCAAAAAACACCACAAATAACCTTGTTACCAACCCATACCATATGGTAAAAGACTTTTAAGCACAAAAACCACCTCAAATAACCTTGTTACCAACACATACCATATGGTAAAATACTTTTAAGAACAAAAACCACCTCAAATAACCTTGTTACCAACACATACCATATGGTAAAAGACTTTTAAGCACAAAAACCACCTCAAATAACCTTGTTACCAACACATACCATATGGTAAAATACTTTTAAGAACAAAAACCACCTCAAATAACCTTGTTACCAACACATACCATATGGTAAAATACATTTAAGAACAAAAAAAAAACATGATACAGAATGATAATAATAATACTCATACAAACTAACAAACACAATAATAAACAACAAACTAGAAAACATACCTAGTGGCCGATACTCTTTGTTAGTCCAGTAAGTAGTATCAAAACTAATTGAATCACCAAAATAATGATAATCCATCCTCATCTTCCCATCTGCCCAAAAAATACTAGCAATGTTCTCTTCAACATCAACCTCCACCTCATGAAAGAACCCAGGATCCAGCTGTGCTTGACGTCTAAAGTATTCAAGCAATGCAGTCGCATCACCATACTCCATTGATGACGTCCTAACCGTTCGCAGATGGTTCTTCAAATCATTATTTGTGAACCCAACAAACTTCCGACCACCACCAACCCTACTAATTGCATTATACGAAGAAGTCACACCAATACCAGCAGCATCATTCACCTCTGCCAGCATCTTATACACAGGAGCCATTCGTCTGCTGGATCTCACATAGTGACGCAGAGACTCAGGAATCATGTTATGGTTGTGCACATTATACCAACGATAGATCTTGTAGCATTTAAACTCTTTAAACCACCTCAGTCGTATATAAGCACCATTACATCCACCCCTGAGTTCTGGAACATTACGAACATGAATCGTCGTATCAACAACACCTGCATTATCAGGGTTATTCTCACTACCTCTTTTCCAACCTTCCTTATTGCAACAATACTTGATATAATATACAGCTGAAGAACCACCATTGAGCTTCGGACACGCTGATTGGTTATAAATCCTCACACCAAAACCTTCATGATTCCCATAATCAACATAAAAATTATATGCATCATCTGGTGTATTGAACTCTAAGTCCTTCCAAGAATCACGAACAGTAGGATCTATACCATTGAAACCTACAAACATTATGAAACAACATATCAAATGGATTCCACACCACAACAGTATGAAATATCAACGTATACCAATAATTACAGCCATGATACAAGAGTTACCACCATAGTATGGCATGGTAAAATCAAATTACCACACTATATGGCATGGTAAAATCAAACTACAACACTATACCACATGGTATGGCATGGTAAAATCAATTATCACACAGAACCCTCACATTTAACTTCCTAATTACCACATTTTACCACATGGTAATGTACTGTAAAATCAATTACCACATGATAAGGCATGGTAAAATCAAATTACCACCCTATACCATATGGTATGACATGGTAAAATCAAACTACCACACTATACCACATGGTATGGCATGGTAAAATCAAATTACCACACTATACCATATGGTATGGCATGGTAAAATCAACTATCACACAGAATCCTCAAGTTTAACTTCCTAATTACCACATTTTACCACATGGTAATGTACTGTAAAATCAATTACCACATGATAAGGCATGGTAAAATCAAATTACCACACTATACCATATGGTATGGCATGGTAAAATCAATTATCACACAAACATCACATTTAACTTCCTAATTACCACATTTTACCACATGGTAATGTACTATAAAATCAATTACCACATGATAAGGCATAGTAAAATCAAATTACGACACTATACAAACTTCAATAAACAAACAAATTTGCATATCTTACCTCCTGATTCACCAGAGTTAGCTGAATGATCAAATCCAAGATCAATAGATGAAGAAGCAGTTCCAACAGCACTAGATGAAGAACCAGATCCTACAACGCTGGTTGAAGAACCAGATCTATCAATTGGAACAACATCGCCACAATTTACGTTACTCATCTCACCAGAATACTGCCAAAACACCAAAACACAAAGAACATAACACATGAACAAGCTCGATTAGCTAAACATAAACAAGCTCGACTAGTAGCAATGAAAAACCTCCAACAAAACCAGAGATCAACAGAAAACTCGATTAGCTAAACAGAAAGAATAAAAAAACTAATATCTAACCTCGTCGTCGATCAATTATGGAGAATCAGAAAAGATTCGCCGTCCCATGTTTCGCAGCCGCTGCTCGCAATTTCTCTCTACAAAAACCGAATCCAACTCGCGCACACGTCGATCAATTATGGAGAATCAGAAAGCTCGATTCGAAGCTGCTGCTCGCAGTTTCTATCGTCGTCGATCAACAATGGAGAATCGCCGTCCTTATTTCTCAGCTGCTGCTCCCCCTGCTCGTAGTTTCTCTCTCCAAAATCCGAATCCAACTCACGCACAGAAAGATTTGCAACGGACAAAGAGGGAAAGTCATTTAATTCAAATATAAAATATCGGACAAAAATGACCCTGACCGTGGACAAAAAATACCGCATCAATCACAGCCACAAGATCCGTCCCGCCAAGATCGACGGTCCCTATATGGTTACTCACGGATGAGTAACAAAGGGTTACTCACCCTATCCTAAGCCGGAGTCGCCGTCAGCGAGAATGCGAGATACCTCAGTGGAAGTGTGGACGGACCATTGCACAGTTTCGTATGCCGTGACGTCAAGAAAATGCTCAGAAAAGTGATTGCATATTTGCATGCCTTATTTCCAGATTTTTTTTTATTTCACAATTTATTTCCGTAGATTTACAGTTGCATGCATACATAGTATATTTGGTACGTACTACGTAGTAAATCCCCACTTCTCGGAGTTCTCATCTTTTTTAGTTTTGAATTTGCTGGCCAAACATTACATTGGATTATCTAAATTTTAGTATTTTCACAAATTTTCGGAAATTATGTATGGAACTATGGGTGCCGCGATGTATATTTTTCTCTGATTTATAGTAACTGAAAATTAAGAAATTTACAAACATGTCATTTTTTGTGTGAAGAGAATTTAAAATCATTCTCTCTCAATATGTACTTGAAATTCACATATAGTCAAGTAACAGTTAAAATTAAGCTTAATACCTTCATTTAACAAATAACCAAATCCCTTATTTTAGACAGCCAAATCAAATGGCTAAAATCATCATACACGTGTACTCCATTTATTGGCTCTACCTTTCGCAATGCGGGCCACTAAAACGTCGTCGTTTCGGTCTTCCTCCTAGTCATCTCCACACTCTTCTTCTTCACCTCCTCCACAAACTCCCTCACGTTCCTCTCCGACGACCCTCCTTCCTCCACCGCCGCCTCCGCCTCTCTCTTCCACCGCACCGCGTTCTCCCTCATCTCCTCCGCCCGTGGGCCCACCGTGACCTCCCTCAGACACCTCTCCACCTCTTCCCTCGTAACGAGCTTCGTCCACGTGTCCCCCCGTCCCATCCTCACCCCGACTCGAAAAACCTCCTCGAGAAACTTCGCGTCCGTCACCTGGTCCCCCCACTGCGGAAATGCCACCACGGGCTTCCCGCTCCCGATAGCCTCCAGCGTCGAGTTCCACCCGCAGTGCGTCACGAAGCAGGACACCGCCACGTGTCCCAGCACCGCCTCCTGCGGGGCCCACCTAACCACCTTCCCCCTCTCCCCCAACCCCTCAGGCAGGCCCAAGTCAGCATCCTCACCCTCCTCGTGACCGGGCCGGACCACCCATAAAAACGGCAGGCCCGAGCCCATCAACCCGTGGGCCATCTCGGCCCGCTGCTGGGCCGACATCCCCACAATGCTCCCCATCGACACGTAGATGACCGAGCCGGGTTCCTGCCGGTCCAGCCACCCTATACAGTCGTCATCCGCCTCCATTAAATCCCCCGGCCCAACAGAAGCCTTAGCTCCAAGCCAGAGCGGGCCCACGGGCCTCACCTCACAAAATTTCGACACGTGGCCGATGATTTCCTCCTCCAGTCTCTCAAAAGTCTCCATCAGCACGCAGAACACGTTGTCCAGGTGGGCGAACTGGCCGAGAATCGCGGTGGCGAGGAACCCATACGGCGTCGTCGGGTGGAGGAAGCTGGGGATCTCGTCGTGCTTCATGACCGGCATCCCGGGCAAAACGACGTCGCGTTCCTGGTCCTCGGGAGTCGGGAACTCGACGAGTTTGTTGTGGAAGTGGTAGTAGGTTGTGAAGGAGGCGCAGGACTGGATCCAGAGGACGGCGCAGGGGATGTCCAGCGTGGCTGCCACGTCGGACACCCAGGGGAGGAACGGGTTGCTGACGAAGCACGACACGGGGGATCCTTGGTCGGCGTATTTTCGGACCATTTCGGGTAGGGCCTTTCGACCGGTTTGTTCGAGGAGGGTCATGAGCTGGTCGAGTGGGACCCGCTTGATGGACTCCTCGTCGTGGCCGTCGTCGAAGAAGTCGAAGTGGACGGCGGCGCCGGAGTGGGAGGAGGAGGAGGTGTTGGGCTCTGTCACGGGACACACATGTAAGTTTTGATAAAACGATAGGAATTTCTTATATATATATATATATATACATACATATGTAAAGGATTGAAAAAAATTTCAATGTACTAAATCTCACTTATTGTTAATTGATTTATTTTCAATATAAATTATATCCCCATTCGTATTCTCTGGAAAAAAAAAGAACATACCTAATTTCAACTCCTGACTTCGACACTGGGAGGAGGGGAGGGATTTCATTTTGCGGGCGGTGGAGAGGTTGATGGTGAAGGTGACGCGGAGGCCGTGGGAGGCGAGGAGGTTGGCAAGGCGGAGGAAAGGGTTGATGTGGCCCTGGCCGGGGAAGCAGACGAGCATGACGTGGAGGGGAGGCTCCGGCGCCGGCGGGGCCATTGTTGGTGTTGTTAGGGTTGTGAGGTTTGTGAAGAATTATATAGGGATATGGTTTTTGGGTTTTATGGGTTGGAGGTCGGGTGGAGGGTAATTGTTTGTATATATATAAGGGTAGGGTCGGAGGCTAGGAGCTGGTTTTACGTGAAAAATGAAAAGGATTGGCGTGGAAAGCCCCACATAATTAAGCTGCATAACACTAGTTGTTTTAAATGCACGCAAAACGTTAAACGCAAATACATTAACAATATAATATATTATTCAATCTTTTTCGACCCCTCTCGATTTATTGAGATGAATTAGTTCTTTACATGCATAGTATTAGAGCTAGCGCATTCTGTAATCAATTAGTTTTCTGCTCGATTCTCGGCGACATCATTTGTCAAGGACGTGGTATTCCCGACACGTACAAATTTCAAACGCGTGCTAGTGACTTTCGTTTAAGGGAAATGTTTTTTTGTATGTACGTGGTATAAGATCCATTATCGAAAACCTTCCAACAGGTTGAGTTATATATTGGGAGTTGGAACGACTAATCAGTTTCTTGACAATTGCCTCCTCTGCGACGTATATTATGGCCCGATTGCTTCGAAATGAAGTAATTCGTTCAAATAACCTCGTTCGGCAACACGAAATGATGAGGATTGCAACAATTGGGATCGGAAAATTTGAACTGCGTGGTTTTCCGTCACTTTGAATTGACCGTAAAAAGGACAGTATTATTAAATGATGTGTTTTTTTTTTTTTTTTGGAACAAATTGAATCAATGACTCATTTTCTTGAACAAGCCATGCAAATATAGCTAATTGATTTAGGTCTTGGTCGTCGGTGGTCATGCACGTCAAGTAATCAGACGGCAGCGGGAACTAATTTGCCGGTTTGGGAACAAAGGCCTTGTCTGCCCTGTTCAAAGAAATATTGTTAATTTGTTATCTTTTCCTTTTCCTGTGAATTAATTCTTTCGCTTTCGGCCGCAGCTATAGAAAAAACGAAACAGAGCAGCGAATTTAATAAAACTTCAATTCCTTCTAAGAATCGACAACGTAACTAAAACCAACAAGACCTTTTCTATTTTCTAATGTAGCGCTGTCTGTTGCATATGTCTCCTAATTCAAACCGCTATTGCGCTTCATCAGACATCAATCACCATCGTCCGGAAAATGGTGTGTGGCGTTATCAAATTTGTTCACGTAATTTGACGATGAGAAGGCGACGGCTATATTGTACGTTAGCATTTTTTTTTTTTTTTTTTGTATGGTTGAATGTTTCAGTTTCGATTGTCTTGGCACGCTTCGTGACAAGAAAGTCCGAAACTTTTACTTGTCGGGACTACTTGTATGCATTCGGGGGAGTGCAATATCGATAACGAAATCCGAATATTCTTGTGGGTGTTTTTATCAATATGGAGCAACAAGCATTAGCCTTTAAACGGCAAGGGTTACAGTATAAAATTCAGGGGCTGATCAATCAGCTTCTACACACTCCGGATACGAATCATATATCACGTATCATGACGAAATGATTCGTATAAGGTGTGGTAAGATACTACATTTTGTAAATTTTGTTGTTCTGAATTTCACACTCTTATTATTTTCCCTTTTGCATATCGCTTGTAGGTAGGGATGGCAATTACCCACCCATGGATAATTATATCCAAACTCAAGTAGAACCATTTGTAATGGGTTGTGTATGGGTAAAGTGCACATGGGTTTCGGTAAGGTGTGAATATTGCTTCTATAATCTAAATGGATATGGGTTGGATATGAATATCCATTTTCTTGAGAGTGTTTTAACTTAACTACACATAAAAAATGGATCTATTTGTAAAAATTGAAAAGTTTAGATACCAAAAAAGTAAGACCAAAAATTTTTAGGTACTAAAATGTAATTTCCATCGATATTTTGAGAACTTATATCCAAAAAAATTGAGTACTAAATATACATATCTATAAAGTTTAGATACCAAACTGTAATTTGCATTTGGGCATGGGTAACCCAAATCCATTTGTTAAAAATTCAACCCAATTCAAGTAAATGGGTATGTGTACAAACTGTACGTGGGCACCGGGCCGTGCCGCCCACGGGCTAGCACGGCACGGCACAGTTAGAGCACGGCACGAGCACGGGCACGAAATAAATGGGCCAGCCCGGCACGAGCACGAATAATTTATGGGCTGTGCCGGGCCTAAACTTCATGGGCACGGGCACAGTATATAAGTGGGTCGTGTAGGGCCTAATATTTTCGAGACATTATTGAGTATAAGAACGGACATGGCACGAAAATAATATTTATTTGATAGAAAATAAGTATAAAAAGAATTATAGGTTCAAATATTACAAAACACAAGTAGAAAAACAATTATTTGTTGTTGTTAGAAGTGTCATAAAGATATATACGTAATTACTAACATAAGTAAAAATGGACAAAGAATTAAACAAAGCCAAATCAAACTCGCTATACTTCCAATTCCCCCCCCCCCCCCCCCCCCCTATTTGTTACTTTTCTCAAACATTATCGGTTAATACTATCTTCCCCGTCCAATTTTCACCCTTTTTTTCATTCTCTCTTTTGTTTTCGTCCTTTTCATTAAACACGAATACGAGCATGGCACGAGCACGAATAGGCACGGCACGATTCAAACCATGCCCGGGCCTGGGCTGGGCCTGGCAAAGTTGACAAATGGGCTTGCATGGCACGGCACGAAAACTGACGGGCCGTGCAAAGCACGGCACGAAATAAATGGGCCCGAAGCGTGCCCATGCCTTGCCTGCCCAAGCACGGCCCAGCGCCCATGTACAGTACAAACTCATCAAACTCTACCCACACACATCTATTTGGATTTCATACCCAACCCAATTGGGTTGGATAGTAAAATACTCATGGGTATGGGCAAAATTGACATCCCTATTTGTAAGTGGCCCAGAATCTAGATCATTTACCTATATCAGGCTTTGGATTTCAACACACCAGACAGAACCATTTCAGCACGTTGATAAGTCGACTCAATAATGAGAGTAAACATTCTCATATATCTAGCATCTTCAAAAAATCAAAATTGTTGGAGTCATCGAGAATTTTGAAAGATCTCGGATCCGTGGATATCCCCAATGGAGTAGGTCAAGTCTTGGTGTTTGAAGCGAAAATTAGAGCCCAACACCCGCATCAAACAAGCCAAATTGATCGAGTGAAACGGATAGAAGCGATTTTTTTTTTAATGGTGATATATATTAATTAATTGGAAAGTAACAAAACAGGGACAGAAAAGACACCAGCCGGCTCCGCAAACTGATAACGAGCGAGCCGAGACCAAAGGGAACAGGGGAGCAGAAAAGAAAAACGAACCAAAATAACAGACCCTCCCTCCCTGCTCGAGCACCAGCAGAATGTCGTAACACAGCAGGAGGGGAGAGAGACCCTATCCACCCTGACAGCACCCTTATCCAATTCCACTTCAGAACCAGTTCCATACAATCAAATATGACAGTGAAAATGTAGGGTAAGTAGTTAATGAAACAGATGACGAGAGCCGCCAGTACGCCTGTGGATAGGAAATCAACCTCAGAGGCCGACGCGAAAGACCGGAGAACCAATCGGTTACAACTCTTCCTCAGGAAGCTGTGAATCCGAGGCCGCGATCTGCTGCAGATTGTCAAGGAACAGTCTGATCTTCATTTCTTTGATCCATCTTTCCGCGGTCTCTTTATCGACTTTTCTCGCTGTCGTCAACCACCAAAAAATGGTGTATCCAATCTTCATAACAAGTGAATGGACATGGCACTCCTGATCATTGAACACTCTGTTATTTCTTTCAAGCCAAACACACCAACAGAAGGCATGTAAGGCTACTCTCGAGCACCACTGAGCTGGGTTTCCCGGTTTCACATGCGGCCACAGTCTAATTCTCTCCGAAATGTCCAGACCCGCAACAGCCCTTTCTTCCAATTTAATAAAGCACTTCAGCCTGCTCCAAACTTGATTCGAGAATGCATAGGTGATTAAAATGTGATTCGGGGTCTCTTCTTCATTCTTGCAGAGGACACACCTATTTGGAATGTAGAACCCTTTTTTCTTCAAGTTGTCTATGGTGAGGATTCTTTTGTGGAAGACCAGCCATAAGAAAGTGCAGATCTTACTTGGCATGATATTATGCCAAATCGTCTTCGAGGGAAAGTCTGTGATTCCCCCAAATCTCGCAGCGGCTAGATGATCGAAGGCCGAATGAACGTTGAAACCAGCTGAAGGGGACGGGATCCACCTTGGTCTTTCAGGTCCTGCAAAAAAAATTTGAGATGGAATAGAATGAAGTAACTCAAATAACCTCACCCGCTCTCTTTCAGCCCCACCCCGAAGTGAGTAAGTCAATGGGATAACCCATTGACAGTTTCCCTCAGAAAAGGAAAGGTAATCAGCAACGGTGGAGTTCAGGGATTCAGCAGCAGCTAGCACTCTCGGAAAATCTTCAGCCAATCGAACACCCTCGATCCAGGTATCAAACCAGAACGAAGTCCAATAACCTTGACTAAGCTCAATACGAGTGAGATTCCAGAAAACGGGCTGCAATTTCGCAATCTTGGCCCAAAGACTACCTCCAACGCTGCCCGGTAGCCTTCCCGAGAACCATTCTGACTGCTGGTTAGGAAACTTGGCATTAATCATTTCCCTCCACCACGTTCCTCTTTCAGTCGCAAATCTCCAATGCCATTTGAGCAGGAGAGCTTGATTATTTAGTTCCAGATCACGAATACCCAAGCCTCCCCTGCTCTTGGCAGTTTTGCAAAGTTCCCAGGAAACAAGATGAAGTTTCTCCCTTTCCCGTGTACCAGACCAAAGAAAATCCCTTTCAATCTTCTCTAAGGAGTTAATGACATTCTTAGGGATTAAGAACATCGAGCTTATGTAGTTACTTTGGCTTGCGAGCACCGAGTTAATAAGTAATATTCTTCCTCCCAACGATAGAAATTTCCCTTTCCAGCCTTCCAGTTTTGATTGAGTTTTCATCACAACGTTGTTCCAATGTGCATTGGGAGGGGATTGACACCCAAGAGGCAAACCAAGGTACGTTGTTGGTAAGAAAGCCCAATCACAGCCAAAAATTTCCACCAATCTTTCGATATCAGCAACCTCACCCACCGGGAAAATTCTCGATTTCTCAAGGTTTACCTGCAGACCAGTAATTGCTTGAAAACAGATCAGAGCAGCCAACAAACTACGGACTTCAGCTTCATTTGCTTCACAGAATAAGATGGCATCATCCGCATAAAGTA